CAGTGACAAAGCTTGCCATACGTCCCGTATTATACAGGAGAGTCCCTTATTTCAAGGTTCATGTCCCGCGTCCTACATTTGTTACCGGAAAGCGCAAATGTCCCGTATTCTCTGATATACTTATGCATTTTTTAATTTTAAAAATAATCAGCTAGATCGACCATAAATAGTCATTGCGACTTAAAAAAAAACTCAAGATCCTGTATTTCCTTACAGACCCTGAGTTAGGGCCTGGGGTCGTATTTTCGAAACCATGCGAATTCTTTCACATGCGATTTAATTCGAATGAAAAATGTCGCGTACGAACTAAAATGCTTATTTTTGAAGACCCTTCGAAAATTATATCGTATACGAGTATTATTTGCGTTGACAACGTCGCAAATTCGAGTATTTGATAATGGCCATTTTGACAGATACAAAAACGAAGAAGATTTTTTTGACATCTGACTTTTTAAATGCTGGTATATATCTTGCTGAAATAAATTTCGTGCACCTAATCGTTGGGATTTCCTATTTAGAACATCCTTGCCTTTATAATGTTAATGAACAATCATGGTTTTTGGATGGGGCTCTAAAAGCTCTATCAACTCCAAGGTGAGTAGCTTCGTCAGGCGATATAATTTTCGGAACCAAGTACCTACCTACACCAATATTCTTCCAGCGGATCAAAAAAGGGATGTAACACCCTATCCCTACGATCTGCCAGTATTTTTGCTTCTTCGAGGGCATCAATAACATTTCTTTCGATTAAATAATCCAAGCTAGCCATTCCAAAAACTGTCTTTTAATAAAGCAGGACAATTTAATTCACAAATTATTTGGAAACGAATGAAAAGTCAAAAGGAGAAGGAACAACTAACACAATTTTCAATTTGCACAACGTATTTAGGTACATAAACAACAAATGTAACGTATATAAACAAAATAAGCACTTCAAAATTGCAAACAATGCGCAGAATGAATTAAAATCGCATGCGAAATGTGAAATTCGACTGGTGGAAACCCACTCGAGTAAACGTACACGAACCAAATCGTGTACGGACCGTTCGAAAGCTATTCGAAAATACGGAAATTCAATTTTCATGCGAATTTCGCCTTATTTCGTATACGAACGGCATTCGAATGGTTTCGAAAATACGACCCCTGTTTATAGTGTAGTCATTTTTTTTTTGTCTGGAACTTTGAGGGCTGAATGTGGCTAGTTAGCTGATGGGAATATAAGTGGTTTAAAAACCTGCTCCCTGTTCGAAATATCCATTGAATGTTTTGCGGATTTGCTCGATTTCGAACTATGATTAAAGTCTGGCGATTTTTTAGCGTTATTTTCACAACAAAACCTTTTATTCTCTCGATTGCCAGACAAAAAGTAAACGCGGAAGGTTCTTACCTTTTCTCCTGGATGTATGTTGGTAGGTACATTAAACCTCTGCTTCATGAAACTGTCCTGATTTTTTATGAAAACAGAAAAAATATGGTAGCCTTCACTGGCACCCTCAATGGCGTAGCACCAAAATTTTTTTCAAAATGTGTCCTTTATTGCAATAACCGAAAGTTGGCAACCCTAGTGTGAACCCCTTCAAATAAAATTCGATGGTTACCAATCGAAAGAACAGGCCGGCTTCAGAAAGGGTTTCAGTACAAGTGACCACCTATTAACCATCCATGAAAATCCTAATAGAACGAGCCAACGAATATCACATCCCACTATATATTGCATTTATCGACTTCGAAAAGGCTTTTGATAGTGTTGAACATTGGGCAGTAAAGAGCTCATTAATTAATAGCAGAATAGACTACAGATACACAGACCTAATAACCAACATATATAGCGAAGCAACAACAACTATTAAAGTCCATGAGGGAACAAAACCAATACCCATAGGAAGAGGTGTCAGACAGGGCGACACAATATCACCCAAACTTTTCAACCAGGCTCTGGAAGATGTTTTTAAAAAACTAGACCGGGAGGAAAAAGGTATAAAAATATGCGGACAACACTTGAGCAACTTGATGATATCGCCCTTATAACTGATAAGAAAGAAGAGCTGACAGAAATGCTGGAAGAACTTGACGTAGCAGCTAAAAACATAGGTCTCAATATGAACTACGCTAAAACCAACACAGACGATGACATCATGATCAGAATAGGACAGGGAAAAATAGAACAAGTCGACGAATATATATATCTGGGACAGATTATTAAACTCAGCAAAGAAAACCAAACAGCAGAAATCAAGAGACGAGTTAGATTAGCTTGGGCAACATTCGGTAAATTAAGCTACATCTTGAAAAATAGAAAATATCCACAATACCTCAAATCCAAAGTTTATAATCAATGTATACTTCCTGTTCTCACCTATAGATCCCAAACATGGACACTTACAAAGTCAAACATGGATAAAATAACAAAAGCACAAAGATCAATGGAAAGACAAATGTTACATGTGAAACTGATAGATAAAAAGAGGAACGAGTGGATTAGAAATAAAACGTTAGAAAGGAGGTAGCAAAATTAAAATGGAAATTCGCAGGTCACAATATCAGACAAAAAGACGACCGATGGAATAAATGTAAGTATCTTAAGCTGGAGACCTTGGGAGAATAAAAGAAATAGAGGAAGACCCCAGATGAGGCATGCTGATGACCTGAAGAAGCACGCTGGAACCAGGTGGATGAACATGGCAACAGACAGAGAAGAATGGAGAAGACTGGGGGAGGCCTATGTCCAAAGATGGACTGAAGAAGGCTGAATAGATAGATAGAATCTCAGGTATGTCTTCAGAGTTGACGTTCATGACTTTCACTTCCTGGTCTTGTTCGGATATGTCGCTAGTTACTTTCGTCTCGTATAGGTCTGTATAGAATTCTTGTACCATTCGTTCTTATAATGTCTTGTCTTCGATTCTTTGACCTGTTTTGTCTTTGATTCTGACAATTTCTTTCTTTGTGTTCGTCGTTAGTATTCTGAACACTTTCGTCCCTTTGTGTTGTTCCAGTACTTTTTGCGCGATTTTCTCATTGTGTTTTCTGATGTCCTCCTTTGCCCTCTTTCTGGCGATTTTATTTGTTTCGGCGTATTCTGCTGATGATCTTTTGTTATTTGTTATAAGTTGTCGTCTTTTATCTAGCATATTTAGTGTTTGCGCGCTTAGTTTATTTTGCTTTATAGTTTTTGTTTCTGTGTACGCTTCTGCTGCTTGGTTTAGGGTTCTAGTGATCATTTTGTTTGCTTCGTTTATGTCATGGGATGGGTACCTACTCGGTCTCTGCTCTTTGAATCTGTTTCCCAGGTATATTTGGGTCGTGTTGGAGTTTCTCTCTGTCAATCTGTTTGTGTATCGACTTTTTGATTTTTCTGCAACGCTCTAGTTTATGGTTTATGCTTATTCTTGCCCTCACCAAACGATGGTCACTTCCAGTATTAAATCTGTTCAATACCTCGACGTTTTGTACTAGTTGGATGTTCTTCGTTGGAATATAGTCCATTTGGTTGAAAGTTCTCTTGGTAAAGTGATCAATATATAGTTCTGCACGGTACGAGACAATAATTGCCATATTTGCCGATGAACAAGGTCAACTTTTATTGTTTCCATAAAATCTGGACTTCTATTGGAAAAACATTACCATTAACGTTACATTCAACTGAACATATTATCTAATAGTAATCCTTCTTTTAAGAGTTCAAGGGAGACTTTTGTTGCGCATTGTATCTTGCCTGCCGAGGAAAGGTGATTAATCGCTTGTACACTTGAAGTTGCGGCAGAAATGTTTTTATTCGTTTACCTAATTTTGAAATGTTGTTTGTCCAGTTCAATGATTTTGAGTATACGTAGTACGCAGTTACTCATTTATATGACGCATCTATGGCCAAAATTAGCTGGAAAAGCAGTATCAGGATTTTTTGAGCTTACAGCCAAATTTTGTAATGTTTTGAAATGAGGTTCATGCAGAACTCGATGCTTCTCTATTGATATGTAGGTCTTCATTTTTCAGTCCACCTTGTACCTACCTATACAGGGTGGGCCAATGAAAACTTTCCAGCCCGATTTTTACGATTTGAATTAAAAATCTAGAAAAACGCTTGAACACGTCGATTTTTGATTTGAGGGGGAAATATTTTTCAGTTTTTTTCATCTCCGTAGCTTCAAACCACTAGCTGGGGGGAGAACAACCTCCCAAATTTGAATAGGGGATAGGGGTCGAGTCATACCTCTTTAAAGGTCTCATCGAGTTCTTTATGACCCTAAAATTTCGTCTCATTATTTTATCTGTAATAAAATGATAGCTTGTCAAAATCTTGGAACTAGACTATTGTTTTGATAGAAGTAGAAGCGATACTTACCACCCTTGATAAAAATACTTAAAATTTACAATTCACGTGTACACCTAATCCATACTAATAAAAAACTTTAATTTAAAGTATTTTTATTAAAGAAGGTAAGTATCGCTTTTACTACTACTAAAACAATAGTCTATTTCCAAGATTGACCAAGATTTTCCCCAGCTAGGGGGTTAAAGCTATGGGGATGAAAAAAACTGTAAAATAGTTCCCCTCAAATCAAAAATCGACATGTCCGAGCATTTTTCCAGATTTCAAAGTTTCCATTGGCCCGCCCTGTACAATAAAATTACATCTTCACATAAAAATTAAACTTGTTCTACCATAACCAGACCAACAAAATAAATGAATCAGTATCAAATCATACCATAAAAGAATAAGTAGATCAACAACCTTGGTTGTGGTTACGAAAAAAAAATTGTATTTGTTATTAGTTAGTCATCGTTTACCATGTTCACTAAACTAAAACGATCTTAAATGTTTTATTTTGTCATTAATGAGTGTAATAGGCTGCCGCGCCTTGTAATAATTATTTTGTCATAAGGGAATACAAAGGGATCGTCCAATTGGTAAGGCATGGTGATAATTTTCCTAACAATTTATTCAAAGTAGGCTCAGAAGTTTTCCCATATTATTGTTTGAAATTTTTATTGGTTTGTAGTATGCCAAGACCGCAAAGCGCCACGTCGCGACAAGAAGCTGAAATGGCTGCGAAAAGTTTAAGAGAGCTTCAAGCAGGCACTACTGATCCAGTGCAAAGGTTACGACTATTATGTTTGTCCAGAGGAGCTACTGGTATCTTGGGGTTAGGCAGGATGTTTCGCAGGATGGACGAAGACGGTAACAAAAATTTAAATCTGGAAGAGTTTACTTTAGGTCTGAAAGAAATGGGCTTGAACATCAGTGATGATGAAATCAAAGAGATGTTTGCAAAGTTTGATACTGATGGTAGCGGCAGCATTAACATGGAGGAGTTTTTGGTTCATATTAGGGTAAGAAACATTTCGTTTGGAAATTACTGAGAAATTTAGTTTCATTATTTGGGGACTCTATTTTCTACTATAACAAGATGTGTTGACATTCAACATAAGTTAATTTTTTAGCCTCCCCTCAGCGATTCCAGAAAAAAAGTCATTGAGGAGGCGTTCAATAAAATGGATAAAACAAAAGATGGTGAAATTACTATTGAAGATTTGAAAAATGTCTACAATGTTAAATCACACCCAAGATATATTTCTGGGGAAGACAGTGAAGAGGGTATATTAAAAAAATTCTTAGGGAATTTTGAACAGGACGCAACTAGGGATGGAAAGGTAAACTATGACAGGAATTTTTATTTTTGTTTGCTTACCAGAAAATTTTGCAATTATTGTCACATTGCATCCAATCAGCTATTTATGACTGCTCTCAGCCAATATTTTGGATCTGTTTGAGATAGGCGATTGTAAACATCTACTCCAACCTATTTGAAATTTCATTTGAGATTATTTACTTTCACCAATGCTATCAGCAAAAAATTAATTTCCTGAGGATTTTTTTTTATTATTTTTCAGGTAACCAAAGAAGAATTCTTCAACTACTATGCAGCAATCAGCGCCTCAATAGATAACGACTGTTATTTTGATTTGATGATGAGACAAGCTTACAAACTTTAAAAACATTACGTAATAATAATTACTATTACTCTTTTGCTGTTTTAAAACTTTTTTAGTGTTAAAATGTGTGTTAACTTTTTTAAAACAATATTTATCGTTGTTAGGAATTTTGTGAGTAAAATAATATTTATTAAGTACAACATCAAATTTATATTAAAATATATTTGTAAACTAATAAAACTGATACTATAATAAAAATTGAAAAAAATAAAAATAAAATAAAATCTATAACCCTAAGGGTTGATAATAATATTAAACTACTAATTGCACTTGTTGAGAAATTATTTGTGAATGGCTAATTTCTAATGGCAAGGATTGTTCTATAACTAGAGGTTATTAAAAAAAAAAAATTAGGTGTGTATTATTTATGTTCCTAACAAGTGTGCAAAGAGACTTTGCGTACATGCTGAATCAATGAAATCAAAATAAATACTTATAAAACATTAAAATTCGCCCTATTGCCGAAACCCTTCACAAATTGTTTTGAGTATTGCCAGATTAGAGAGAAGTAATCAGACGTCGAATCAGACTAATGGATTATATGTTTTCCTTAATTGCGTTGCCTGATTACATATAAAGTTGTTTAACTGGTGTATTTTTTTGCAAATTTTAACAAAAAGTTAAATTGAACTTTATTTTGTTAAACAAGCAAAATCAATGTTTCAATAATTCCTATGTTTTGCATAAAAAACTTCACAGTCCAGACTGCAAAAGTAACATTTTTCAAATGTTCGATCTACAGAAGAACTGTGAAAGTCATACCTATTATTTCTCAGAGGGATTTCTTAACATAATTCAGATGTGTACTAATGTACAAAAAATTTTAGCCCTCTTTTAAGCTTTTTTTATCACAAGGTGAGATTTTTCTGAGGATTAACATAATCCATGGGTATTCTAGTATTACAATTCCCATGCAAAACCACAATGGGATGATCACATTTAAAATAATAATCGAAAATTTCCCTATAGCCATGATCCCTCCACCATGTACACAATTGCCTATTGAATCCGCAATTTAATGTTTGTATAAGCTCAGGATACTCATAGCCTAATAAAGTATAAAAATCTTGATCTCCCAAATGCCCCCTAAACTTATATTTTTCTGTCATATTTATAACACTTTCTTTGGTGATTATTTTAGAAAATTCTGTGGAATTCCGTTGTTTTTCAAAATCTACTAAGACCACTCCACTGTTGTAACCTTGGAAACCTTTAGGATGGTTAGGACTGCTTGGACTTAATGGTCGTTGATGGTAAAATTCACCAAAAGTGGTTTTATGTTTGCGTTTGTACATGTGCAGAATGTGTTTGTAGACTGGAGTTAGTTCTGGGGCCAAGCCAAAAAAGGCAGTAGATTTGAACCTAGAAAAACAAATAATTTAGATATAACGATATTATAAAGAAATATTAAGTACTTACCATTGAAACTCCTCAAATAACAAAGCAACATCTTTTTTAAAATAAAGATCACAGTCTAATAAAATGGCTCTCTTTTGCTTTATAGGAGCTACCCTGTATAATCCTAGGGATATGTAAAAGAGTGCATCACTGTAATATGTACCTGAAAAGTTGAAAATACACTTATTGTTGTGAAAACTTGAATTACAACAATACTTACCAGGCTTTGAGCTAAAGAAAGGCATCATAGCATCATAAATATCTGTAATTTTCCTAGCACAATCCTGTACATCGTAGAATTTATAATTCATGCTTTTATTAGCTTTTACCATAATTTCAGTGAGCTTAAGTAAAGCAATACTCTTGGACTTTTCATCAACAATAATATTAAAATTTAGAAGCACCGAGGAAACATTCAACAAATTATAAAGGAGATTTTCAAACTTAACAGTCAATGGAGATTTGGTGGATACCTTTGTGAATATAAGCCATATATTGTAGTCAGGATTTTTTGTTATCGTTGAGGCATTAGTGGTGAAACTGTGGAACACGGCACTGGAAGGTGTGGGAGGTGGATTATTTTTAAGATTTATAGTAATGAAGGCAAAATAGACTAAACATATTAGGATTATGAATAGGAATGCGTGCAAAAGGAATGATTTTTTAGGTTTCTTCATGATGAGGTGTTCATCTTTGGGGAGTTTTGTCTATTTGAAAATTCACTACATTGTTGTTTATACATTTATGAAACACCACACACTAGAGGATCTGCCATCATATTATCAACACATCACATAATATAAAATGTAACAAAATTAATTAAATATTTATTTAAATAAATATAAACAATAAACATACAGACGTCAGACGAAAGGCCATGATTTATTTACAAAAGTGAAGTTAGTTTGAACTGGAACTGAAGGAAGAGTACGTTCGATAACTTGGTGTTAAAATCACAGTCACAGATCACCTAAACTACATGTGAGAAAACCTGATACAGCAGAGTTCAGTACACTTCAGATTGGATAAGAATACAATTTTGTTCAAACTGATTTTCGAAATTTTTGGGGGGCTGAGCGTCAAGTTACCTCCCCAGTAGGATTTTGTCGGAAAATGACCGAATATGGAAATTTTGAGAAAAGCCTGATACAGTACAGTTCAGCACACTTCAGATTGGAAAATAATTCAATTTTGTTTATTCTGATTATCAAAATTTTGGGGGGCTGAGCTTTAAATTGGCTCCCCGCTCCCCAGTATGATTATTTTGTCGGAAAATAACCGAATATGAAAATTTTGAGAAAAACCTGATTCAGCACAGTTCAGCACACTTCAGATTGGGTAAGAATTCAATTTTGTTTTAACCCATTTGACCCTACTGTCCTTTTAAAAGGCAAGTACAAATACAGTATTCTAGACGTAATTTCTTCGGAAAGATTTAGATGGCGCTATTGACAATTGAATTAATACGATGTGTGTAAGTGAAAAACTGCATTTGGCCACATTTGTTTTGTGTCAGGAGCGTGCTGTGTGGAATTTATTATTGTTGATTTTTTTTGGACTTGACATGGCATCTTCGAGGTATGTATAATTCATAAATAATTCGAGATTGTTGTTATTTTTTGATTTAGATCTCTTTTATATGTTATAAAACATTTGTTAGAAAACATATGAGATGAGTTCTTGCATTTCAATATTCACAAAATGGAGTTTTGTAAACACGTCCTTTTAAAAGGACAGTAGGACAATGTACTACTTTCATTATTTTTTTTTTCAGTTACTGGAAAAAGCCTTTGAGTTTGGCTCAACTTTTAACGGAAATAGAAAATGATGACACCTCTGAAGTTCCTGATAGGATAGTAATTTTTCTCCCTGAAAACGCAAATGATGGTTGGGATACGGACGAGGATTCGGGTGACGAATCCAATGTTGATCTCAACAATTTGCCTGGCATTCAGCTAAGTGCTCAAGCAGAAGTAACATTTGATAGAAAAAAGGATGAGGATGAAAATACCTCGTCCAAATCTGATGAAGAAATATGGGATAGCGATGACGAAAAACCGTTATCTCATTTTGTTGAAAGAAGACCTAAGCACCTAAAAAATTTGATTACACTATTCAGGATTTAGAGTTGATGGAGCCTCCTGAATGGCAGTTTGTGGAAACGGTTCAAAACAATCTTTCTCCTGCTTCAATATTCAAATTATTTTTTGATTCCAATGTTATGTGCAAAATTCTGAATTTTACTAATACATATGCCCCAACAGAAAAATCATGCAGGGGACATAACATTGGACGAACTCTTTTGCTTTCTTGGAGTATTGCTGCTTAGTGGGTATGTTTCAGTCCCGTAAAAAACAATGTATTGGCAGAATAACAACGATGCTAATAATATTCTAGTATCGGCAGCCATTTCGAGAGACAGATTCCAATACATAATGAGCCACTTACACTGCAACGACAACACTCAGCTACAAAAGGGCGATAAGTATGCTAAAATGAGGCCCTTATTCGACTCATTGAATGAAAAGTTTTTTCAATTTGCACTCATTGAACAAAATCATAGTTTCGACGAGGCAATGGTTCCATACTACGGCCGACATAGCTGCAAGCAGTTTATTAGAGGCAAACCAATCCGCTGGGGTTACAAATTTTGGGTCGGTACCTTGAGACTTGGATACATTGTTTACTTTGAGCCTTACCAGGGATCTTCATCAGTAATACCTGAAAAATATAAACATATGGGCCGCGGGGCATCACTCGTACTTCAATATGCTGATATTTTACAGAAAATGCCATATAAGTCATTCCACCTCTATTTTGATAATTTCTTCACGAGTCTGTCCTTACTAAAAGAACTGAAATTGAGAGGTATAAGTGCTTCTGGTACTATAAGGGAAAATCGCATACCGCAATGTCCTTTATCTGATGCCAAGTCTCTAAAAAAAAAGAGCGAGGATTTTTTGAATACGCATTAGCTGATCAAGAAATATTGGTCTGTAAATGGAATGATAACAACATTGTGAATCTTGCACCAAATACAACCGGGGTATTCCCTACAAATAAGGTGAAACGATTTTCTCAGGCTGAAAAAAAACATGTGTATGTTGATCAGCCTAAATTATTCAAGGCCTACAACGAGAATATGGGAGGAGTGGACAGGAGTGACCAAAATATCAGCGAATATAGAATATCAATTCGAGGCAAGAAGTGGTATTTTCCCCTGTTTGCCCATTGTGTGGATATGGCTGTGCAAAACTCATGGCACATCCATAAAAATCAAGGTGGAAAATTAGACCAATTGGGTTTTCGTCGAAGTATTGCTTGTGAAATTTTGGAGACCCATAAAAGGAGAACAAAAAGGGGGCCCTCTAAACTACCAAAAAATCATCATGAGCACAGCAGGTACGATAGAATGGATCATCTGATAGTGTATGTCGAAAATCAAAGGAGATGTGCCGAATGCCACAAAAAAGCAAATTTTTCGTGCCAAAAAATGCGATGTCGCACTTCACCCTAAGGATTGTTTTTTCAATTACCATGATTTGTAAATTATCAATAAATGTTTTTTTGTCGAAACTAAGCACTTGAATCTATTTTCTGACTTCTCAAGAAAATATTTACATAGACACTTATAACCCTACCGTCCTTTATAAAGGCCATAGATTTCTAGCCAATCAAAACGCTTAGGATTTTTTTCAATATTTTCTAGCATCCTTGTATAGCCCAATTTACTTAATTCTCCTGAAAAAACTAGGATTTTTGAGCAATAACGGTTATAGGGTTAAATGGGTTTTAATCTGATTTCCAAAATTTTGAGGGGGCTGAGCGTCAAGTTAGCCCCCCAGTAGGATTTTGTCGGAAAATGACCGAATATGGAAATTTTCGTAAAAACCTGATATAGCACAGTTCAGCACACTTCAGATTGGATAAGAATTCAATTTTGTTTAATCTAATTTGCAAAATTTTGGGGGAGCTGAGCGTCAAGTTAGCCCCCCATTAGGATTTTGTCGGAAAATGACAGAATATGGAAATTTTGAGAAAAACCTGATACAGCACAGTTCAGCACACTGTAGATTGGATAAGAATTCAATTCTGTTTAATCTGATTTCCAAAATTTTGGGGGGGCTGAGCGTCAAGTTAGCCCCCCAGTAGAATTTTGTCGGAAAATGGCCGAATATGGGAATTTTGAGAAAAACCTGATACGGCACAGTTCAGCACACTTCAGATTGGATAAGAATCCTTTTTGTTTTCATCTGATTTCCAAAATTTTGGGGGGGGCTGAGCGTCAAGTTAGCCCCTCATCTATTTTTTCCTATAACTTTGTTATCGAAACGACACAGTACAAAATATCATCGGCACAGTAAAGCACACTTCGAGCACAGTAATTGGTTGCAATTTTTTTAGAAAATTCGAATGTGGGGGGGCTAACTTGACGGAGCCATAGATTACCTATTGAAAACGAAAATAAATTAAAATTTGCTGAAATTTGAAAACCATCATTCCATGGTACGCTGCATTTTGGATTTACTGTACGGTGATATTCGATCCGACAGGCTGTTAATTTCGTCGGTGAACTTGTGGACAGAGTGAGTGACGTCGCTGACGTCGAGGTCAAGTTGTACTTCTATTCGACTGGTTGGCGAATTCGACTAGGCTGGCGTCGCGACGCTGGATTTGTTGGGGCTATTGCATCTTCCCCTTGTTGGCGGCGGCGTGGCTGTATCCGGGAATAAGCTACTGTAATTCAAAAGTGGTAGGGTGTTGATTGTTTTGATACGTTCAAGAACACTAAAAAATTACGTACTAGGTCACCAATACGTCAAATAATAGTACTGTGCTTGCTGTGTCTAGGAAGCTACTGTAATCCAGTAAAAGTGGTGGGGTGTCAATTGTTTTGTTTGGAGGAGAGGAAATTATGCAACAATTATAACTTTAACATTGAATGTTGTATTTTTTTGCACAAGGATAAAAACATTATAATTTATTTGGTGTTATTTTCAATATTTAAGTTAAATGGTATTCGATTTCACATTAGTTGGTTTATTTCTTTTATTAAATATTGATATTATAACAACAAAACAAATAGCTATCAGTTTATCTTGTGTTTTATTTCATACTGCTTTGATAGTAGAGTCAAAGAGTGCTAGTAGAGTAGGTATCTTACTTAAACCTAATTTAAATCAATAGAGCCATAAAAGTAGACAGTTAAATAATAATTCTAATATTTAATATAGCAAATAAAAGTTAAGAAGACAAATATCACTTTTTTGGCTATTTGCACAGCTATAACTTTTGTTTATTTCTACAAGAGTCACATTCAAAGCTCCAGACTAAAATATCCCTCAAGTTATAGCAGTTTTATCTTGTGATTTATTCCATATTGCTTGTTAAGCTACGTTCAGTAGGTAACTTAATTTAAATTGATTGAGCTATACTGGATATTTCTGGATAATGGGATCAAACTTCTAGGAGAAATAGTACCCATTAAAATAAATTAAAAATTAATTAATAATTATTGTCTGGCTAGCGAAACGGCGAACTGCAAAAGAATTTGCTGCTTTGTCAAACTTGACGGAAATTAGAAACAAAATAATAAACAAGTTGGTGACATATTTTTTTTTTGCTATATGGGCATGTGTAATATTTTGAAATAGGAAAAAATCAGGCAACATTGCGA